ACATAAATAAATTAAAAGGGCTTCAAGGAGAAGGCTTTAGCCAAGTTTAATTAAAATTGTTAGAGCCGTTTAGGCGCTACAGCCTTTAGCGACACAGGTTTTTCGGCCGCCATTCCTAAACGAAATACCGGAGGGTGATTAAATGTATATCCAAACACTCCTAAATTGCGATAGAAACATTATGTCAATATTTCAAAGCGATCGGTGAAAAAGTTTCGAAGATTAGCGGTTTTGAACATACGAACATTTACGTTTTTATTAATATAGACTACTTCTAATATTGTTAATTATCATTTCTATATGTACGATTTTCGAAAACTACTTTCATAATTTCTGATTTTTTGTATTGAAGGATGACTATGACAATTTTTAAGATTAATTAATTGCCTTTTAAAGGCCTAAAATGTACAGTTTTCCATTTACCGTTTGAGCCCAGCCTTATACCTGTGATAGGAAAACTTGATGGCAATTATGTCATGGATTCCGATTCATATAAAAATTACTATTTTCAGCCTTCTGTAGTGACAAATCGAGTGCACCTCTAGTTGAAAAGAATAAAAGAGATCAGCCTAGCGTGACTACGAATCGGGCACTCGATAATAACACATCAACACTTATCGACAAAGGGGTGCATCCCTGATTTTCTTTCCTGCGTGGTAAATATCACGGTGATGCACGTCTCGACTGAGCGCTGTGCCTATAAAGAACATCGGAATGAAGTGGTTTTGGAAAATAATATTGCTGACATTTTGAAAAATGACATGAAAATGGTAACAAATTGTTCATAATTGATAAATGGTTGACTGTCGTGAATAATGAAGAGAAGAATAGTTGGGGTGGTCAGTCAAAAAGAAGGCAAAAATAAATGATAATATTTATTTTTACACATGCCGACGTTTCGACCTGAAGTTCAGGCCTTCATCAGGGCTAAGAAATTGTCAGGCTAATTGTCTGTAAATCTTGATAGACTTTACAATATCTCAATTTTCTATCTAACTACTCCATTCTCAATGTCTTAATTTTACTATTTATTTTCATTTCTTATATAACTTCATATTTCTTTTTTATGTTTTACATTTTATTCTAAGATTCCCATTTTAACACTTATGTCACCCTTTTTGATTATGATTACTTCATCATTCCACACTTTGTAACGGTTATTATTATTTATCTCTTAGTTTTTAATATTGTCATTATTCTAACAATTTCATTTTACTTTATTTTTTATTTTATTTTATTTTTTTTATTTTCTTTATATATATATATTTTTTTTTACCATCACTACTTATGTTTCTCATACCTTGTTATCTGGTTATTATCTTAGTCCTGATGAAGACCTGAACTTCAGGTCGAAACGTCGGCATATGTAAAAATAAATATTATCATTTATTTTTGCCTTCTTTTTGACTGACCACCCCAACTATTCTTCTCTTCAGTAACAAATTGTAATTCGTTTAAAAAAAAACACAACTATACAACAATTTCTTCATAACGGGAAAATTATGCAATTTATAGTGGATTAAATCTATGAATAATTAAAAGGTTACAAAATGTCTAACAAAATAAAAATAAAAAATATCAAAATGAGACCATTATGAGCAAAGATATAGACTACAATAAACTGTACAAGACTTTTGGTTTATTATTATGAATTAACTATTTTAATTTAACTAAGAAACAGAAAATGTATTCCTCCAAATTATTTCATTAACATATTTCAGTACTATTTTATCAGTAGTTGTTCATAGACCAATATTTTACGCGAATTATTCCCACGGCCAGCTAGTATACACATATTATAATTATATACATATTATGAAGTGTGATAACCAATTATATAGCTTCCTCGAAAGAAAACCCGGACAATGCATGAATTATAGATTTTTCAACTTTCGCGTAGTGTAACCATTTTGTTGACTAATTCAACTTGTTTAAGATTTAAATTCAGCACCAATTGTCTAATTTCCGGCAATCTGTTATAACTGGTTATTTTAATCTCTCTAATTACACGGCAATCATCGAATCAAGTTTATCTCAATTACTTTAAATATCTTTGGCTTTTTCTAAAATTTACTGTGTAGAAAGTAATTGTGTAGCAATGGGTGACTAGGTTCGAAGGACGAACTACGCACGAGACAGCGTGGCCTAAAAGGAGAGCTCATTTTTTATTTCTGCTCATGAGCCTTTTATTGAATGGTTTTCATTGTCTCTCACCGACAATGAAAGTCATTAGGAATTTCAAAACAAGATGTCGTAACTGCTTTGCGTTGGATTTATTGCATAACCAAGTATTAAGTGGTTTTCTGGCGCTTCTTCATTGTAATTGGTGGATTAGACATTGATAATGTTTTTTTTAAAATAATTAAAAAATCGAAATGAACAACCTTCTGGGCTAATGGCGCTATTGATATTAGCTATTTGTATTTTTATTATTTATATTTCCTCAGTAAGAGAAAACACTGTCACTGGTTGCGAGGGACAATGACAATGAATTTTTTATCCTGGGAATAAACAAGAGATAAAAAGTTATGATTTTCTTTTTTCTTTTTGCAATTTTAGCGGTAACGAATAAAGCATAAAATATAATTCCTATAACTTTCTCTTTATCAGTAACTAATAATGTATAGACATCGGCTATAGGATGGACAAGGCTCTTTCGACCTCTCCTCTCGAAATATTTTAAAAATATATTTCAATAACCCATTTATAATTCTTATATGAGAAGGAGTTGACCAGGGGGTGCGGTCAAATAAATACTAAATTATAGAAATAGTATTATTTAATAATAATGCTGTCGTTTCGACCCACCTTGCAGGTCTTCATCAGGGCTACAAAAGATACAAAATATATAAGATACAATATGAAAATAAAATAAATGAATAATAAGTAGATATTAAATAAGAAAAAGTTGTCTGATTCTTATTCAATATCTATTATAATATTTAATATCTACTTATTATTCATTTATTTTATCTTCACCTTGTATCTTTTATATTTTGTAGCCCTGAGGAAGACCTGCAAGGTGGGTCGAAACGTCGACATTGTAATTAAAAAACACTATTTCAATAATTTAGTATTTATTTGATCGCACCCCCCGGTCAACTCTTTCTCATATTATATCACAGTCACCATCTCTACATCATTATAATTCTTTTTTTTTAGCATGATTGTCGTGGTAATTGCTGATAGTAGTGCCCAGAAGGGGAATGTAAGGCATAAATTTTTTTTAGCGAGGGGCAAATTTTTACAGCGTTTTGAATTTTTGGGATTACATTTTGATAGCGTTAAAATTTTTTGGTAGGATCCGTGTTCCTAAACTTCCAAACCCAGATACCAGGAGAAAACTTGGAACAACAAATATGATAGTTTATGATTTACAATTATTCTAATTATACTTTTTACTTTCGCTTACCTATATTTGTAGTAAGGGTAAGTATTGCGATCGTGAAAATTTTCGAATCTGTATTTTCAACGAAAATGCACGTTTTGAGGTCCCCTGAGCCTAAATAACCAAGTTCTACAAAATGGTCTGGGTGTGTGTATGTATGTTAACAGCCTAGTTCAAAAATGAAAAGACGTACGAATCTGAAATTGCTTATTTAAGGTTTTTATAAGCCTGGTATGTTACAGCAAAATTTTCGTCAAAATCGGCAAATCGGAAGTGGTACTTTATATAATCGATTTAACACATTTTTACGATTTTCCAACGATTTTAATTAAATCTCAATGTATTATTAAACAGTTTTTAGTGTAATGAAGGTGTTATTCTCACTGATGTCCTCTAACAGGGCTTAAATGGCTAATTTTCAATATTAGCTTGCTCTAAAGTACCTTTCATTTTAGTTATTTGAAATAATTAACCACTTCACATTAATCTTTGATATAAAAAATAGTTAAATATAAAACATGAAAGAATTTTATTATTAACTAAAGGAGAAATAAGACACCGTAACGGATAATAGTTGTAATGGAGGAACAAATGGAATGAGAGCGCGCCCGAAAAATTAGAATAGGCTTCCATACGTAACATGAGCTTAATATTATACAAAAATTAAAATTTGTATATAAGGGCAATTAAACGAATAAAAATACCCACAATGAAATGTAAATAAACATAGCGTCTATAATTTTTACTTTCATTCTCCTTTGTCTGAAAATACTTATTTCTGCTTAGAAGACTGTGGTAAGTGAAAGTAGTGTGATACGCGCACCAGATTTTTTTCTAATCCTCCTTTATTTGAATTGTTAAACAAATACAATATATATATAAGTCACTAGCGGATCCAGGATTTAATTTTGGGGGGCTTCAGCCCGAAAGCTTTTTTTTTCATAAAAATAACGATAATTACTTTGGAAAAAAAGAAATAAACTAACTACCTGTATGAAATTGGTGTTTAAGTGATTTCTAAAGTCCTTTTAAATGTAATTACACGAACAATAATACTTCGAGAGATAATTTTTTTATATTTTTTTCGAAAAAACATGGTTATATTTTCCCATTTTGAGGGGGGCTTCAGCCCGAAAGCCCCCCCCCCCCTGTAGATCCGCCCGTGATATAAGTAGACAATATACAATTGTACGGTTGTTGTTGTATCATTAAGACTATCTAATTATACTTTCGCTTCCACTGTTTTTAAGCAGAGAAGAGCAATAAAATTTCTGGGAGTGGACACCTTGGCAACAAGGCATCGACCTTGAGAGGAGCCCCTAATTACCGACCCAAAAGAACGACACTTATCGTTGTTGACCTTTACAGTCCCACATTGCAAATATTGAATATGGTATATCCTTAAGTTACAAATTAATTAGCAAAGTCATACAAACATAAATCATAGAACATACCTTGAAAATTTCCATCTAAAATTTTGTATCATAATGTTTGCTGTATTATGTTGTTGTTTTTTTTGGAGCTGCCTTTCTAAACCGGTTTCATTTGTGGAAGTTCAGCGTATTACCTAATTTTCTTTTTGTTTTTTTCCACGCCAGCCAGAGTGCATAATATGCAACCTGGTACCAGTGCAGTGGTTGGCCAGATAATAATAGTCCAATCTATTCTTGATAGTTCCGATGGAGAAACTTGTGCGCTTTGCGCTGACGCAATCCGTTTTCAGTGCACATTTCCCAATTTACCTTTCCATTTCGCTATGGTGGGGCTTGATAGCTTCGTTGCAACTGTTGATGGCACTAAGGCATCTCATAGTCATCCTCAACACCTCGGTTTTTATTCTTAAACTCCATCTCCATCTTTGTTGTATTGCTAAAAATGGATGATTTGGAAACTTTTCTCTATCCGTGGATGGCGATGAAAAGTTAAGTTTTGATTTGTTTGTTATGATCTATTCCTGTCTTCTGACTGCCAGCTGTTTTTTTTTTGTTTTTTTTTTTCATTCGTACTCAAAGGAAGCTGATCGAGTATAAAATGTAGATTTTCCTGATTCCTATAAGCAAATAAAAAACATAAATTACCACAAAAAGTCCGAAACTGATGCAAAGTGTGCATTTTGCAACATCACATTTTGCAGTACTTGAAGACCAAGTGTATTGTTTACGTTTTGTTCCATATTCAATTAGATTAAGTTATCGAGAATACTAATAAAAAAAGTTCACAAAAAATATAATCGCACACAGACTATCGATTTTTTTCTTTTATCAGATTTTGATAACTAGGTTGCTGAGAGATTAACGAAAAAGCGGATTTAATTAATTTTAGAGATTATAAGACAGGAATATGAATGTTTAAGATTTTTGGAACAAATAAAGATTGTCAGGAATGTAGCTGAAATTATGAGAAAATAGGATTATTTAAAAGAATCCTAGAAGTTTGAAACATTATGAAATAAATAGATAAAAGTAATTTACGTAATGATGTTTAACTTCATGACTTTGCGATGTTATTTTCATCGCTAAGTACATATCTGTTGACGGTAAACATAATTGTTTTGCCGTTACGAATTAATTAAATCATGTAAAATATTTATAAATCGATATATTGAATTATCTTGTGAGGTGCAAAATTTCACATGTTTAATATTGTCCAATTTAATACGTCACAATGATGAAAGCGTTTCCAAAAATATATAAGATTGCATTCAACCATTAATTAATGATGTAACAGTTCTTTCAATATCTTATATCAGCTTATTTATTGTATAGGTCTATTTAATTGTATTATTATTCCACAAACTTTACTACTACTATTCTTTTGTATTAGACTATATCCCCACTTAAACTCTGAATGATTAGGTTAATTTTTTAACATACAGGGTGTTGTGTTCCGTAAATAGATGCAATTTTTTGGAGAAGTAATAGAAGACTTCAAAATCTACAAAAAAGTACACAAAAATAACTGGCCAATTTTCAGCAGAAAAGTAGGAAATCCAAGTGTTGTGTTTTTTTTTTAGGTTTGTCATGTGTTTATTGAATAGGAAGCGATTACTAAAGGAACATACAAATTTAAGTATTTAACAAGTGTTTCGCTGTTAACTAGAAAAAATTTACTTAAAATAGAGTTTGTCATAATTAAAACCATTTAAAGAGGGCTTTTGCGCGGCTAAACTAAGCTCCGTTAAAAAAATCGTAAATTATTTGTTCTTATAACGAATAAACAATAATGAATTAAAATTTCTATATATATTTCAATAACTAAAGATAGTGAGATATTTATTCGTTATTGATCAAAAAAGCCTGAATAATCTTACTCTAGACGCTATTGAATAAACATTAATAACTAAATAAAAAGTTATTCAGTGAAAATATCGGCTGAATTAAAATCTATTCAAGAAAAATATTTACTGAATAAACTTTATTGAAGAATTAATCATTCCACAAATATATATATATATATATATATATATATATATATATATAATATATATATATATATATATATATATATATATATGTATATATATATATATATATATATATATATATATATTTAAATTGTTAAACCAATTTTTAAAAATTAACCTACAGCTAATAAACCCATGTATGGCTTACTGAGCCGATCTAGAAATAATGAATATATAAAAAAATACCTTATATACTGTTATCAAATAAATAGGTTACAATACCTCGCGATTTGAAAGAGAATAATGATTTTGAGATATAAGGTATTGATCCCATCATCATGCATGGATATTTAAGTTAGTTAGGATAGAATGCCGTTGAACAAATAGCCCACTATTGTAATCACCCGTTTGGTATGGCTCAGTTTTCGTATCAATAAATGTGATACAACAGGAGCCAAGAACCAAACAACAATGCAAATTTATTGATTTTTTTTGTTATTATTATTATCTAGAACCGATAAAGATGGAGGACAGGCTGCGTTCCAAGTAAACGTGATCTAGAACATTCTGGATTAGAACTGAGACATTTCCTTTGACATCGCGAGTTGGTGGTTTATTTCTGCCTGAGTTCCAAGGACGACCGGGACAGCGAAGATACAAGTGCCTGAGGAGTTTGCCTTGATATTTACTTCTTCTTTTGACTGGACGATATTATTTGGTAATAATTGTGGTAACGGTCTTTTCTCTCATCGAATGTAAAGTACTTCTTACGCTGGACAAGCATGGAAAATAAATTTTAAGAAAGAGTATTGAGTCAAATCTTGATTGGTCTAATTGAGAGTTTTCACTACTGAATCAAAATACATTTTATACAGATTCGATTTTTATTTAATTTAATCCATATAAACATATGTACCATTTTTTAAAAAATATAGATGCTCGCTAAGTAACTTCTGTTTGACCAACCGCCATTCAAAAATGATGAATCAATACTCAACTGCCAGGTTTTTCCGAAACGTATATGTGGGTCAGGTACCCACTTTATAAAGATCTCTCGACACCCGAACTGGACCACACCGTTCCAACGAGGATTCTCGTACATATACGAGGTTTTGGGGTATTGTACGACACATGAGGTTTAATCATCCTCGAACTCTATTCATAATTTTTGCTTACCTTCAAAAAATTATATTTTTATGAATAAATAACAGATTTGTCCGGTAACTATTTTAACTAAATTATTGTTTATAACTGTACGTTATATTTAAATTTTGTCGCTTTATAGACGAATAAATTACAATTATTCCTACTTTGATTGGACTATTATATTTATATTCCGAGGTTCATGTGATCTAGTTTAAAACTTGGATCTAGTCACGGGCGAATCTACGGGAGGACTTTGGGGCTGAAGACGAAGAAAAATGATAAAAAATCACCATGTTTTATGGAAATAAATATTAAAAAATTATCTCTTAAAGTATTATTGTTCGTGTAATTACATTTAAAAGGACTTACTTAAAAGGAATCACTTAAACACCATTTCATATTGGTAGTTAGTTTCTTTATTTTTTTCCAATGTAATTATCGTTATTTTTATTTAAAAAAAGCTTTCAGGCTGAAGCTTCCCCCCCCCAAAAAAAAATTAAATCCTGGATCCGCTAGTGGATCTAGTCATAGCAATCTTGAATATAATTAATCTGATGCCGTTTGAAAAAGATATTAAAGCAAGAGATATGCTCAAATACCTGGGATCAGTTTTGAATAGAGAAGGAACCAACATCTGTGATATAGAACGGATAATTGGAGAAGGAAGAAAAGTTACGATAATATTCAAAGGCATCTTTTGGAGCTCAAATACACAGCCTAGCACGAAAAGGCTAATATATAAGGCTATATTCGAGCCTATAACGACATATGCCTCGTTGAGACAGGTCATCAACGCAAGACAGGAAAATACTTTTAGCAGCAGAGATGGACTTTTGGAGAAGGGCAGCTAGAAAACCCAGAAGATAAAGAATTAAAAATGAAAGAACTCTGGAGCTGGTGGAGGTAAGAAAGAACATTGTGGCAGACATTGGAGAAAACAGATTAAGATGGTTTGGATTCGTTAAAAGAATGTCTGCAAAAAGATTTCCAAAAATAAGTATGGAAATGAAAGTAGAAGGAAAAAAGATAAAATATAGAGATGAATTGGTAGAATGGAGTGAAAGCCTGGAGGGGAAATGGATACAGAGAAGAAGAGATACCCAATAAGTAACGTTCTGATTAAATTTTACTAAAAAAAAAAATCTATAACATTAAGCATAGTTGGACTTTTACATAGCTGTACTTTCAAGCAGTGGGGTATATATAAAGATGTACGAGGATTGTAATACGAGGGTTCGATACTGACGAGCGCAACAACACTGAATCTGATTCGAACCTGGGCTGAGGAGTTAAAAAAAAAATCGTTTAAAATAATATTAAATAATTGAACGCTATACTTATCTTTCAATTCCTTTAAAATATGAGGTTTTTATTGTTAAAAATCGCTCATTTTCAAATAAAATATTAAGAATTGTAATTTTAACAAGTAATTGAATGAATGAAATCTGTTTTTAAAGCCAAATGTTGTATCGAACTAGGTCATAGCACTCTGGAGATTAAAAACTTTGATAAAAAGGATAACGTGGTCGATTTTATCTTGTGATGTTATCTAGATCTCTCCTTCACACGGATCTCTTCAAGTTATATTTAAACCTTAAAATTTATTTATTTTTAATATTTTATAATTCTTTTTTAAAAGATCTATTATTTCTAGCAATAATTTATGAATTTATTTGCTATAAAATTATTGTAAATCGGCTTCACTGTAGCCCTCGTATTCGATGGGCCTTTGGCGTGGTCTCCAATTTATTATTCCCCTGCCAGATATCGGGTTCTTATTTTAGAGATGAGTGGACCCAGGACTATTTAAAAAGAACTCTGACTAATCTAATATTAATCTGGAATTTACGGTTTGGCATAAAATGTAAACAGTTACCGTACAATGTTCACTCTAGCCAACATAATGCAAGATTGTTTGTCTACACATCAGAGTATCTGGATATAAACATATAATTGCACAACGGGATGTGTTTTCAAAACTTCCGCATATTTTATGCAAGGACATCGTTACACGTGCATAACTGATGCCAATAGATATTTTTATTTTTTTATTTGATTGAATTCCATTAATAAAATTAAACAGTAGCAGAACTGTAAACAGTATATTTAAATCAAACTAAAAAAACATAAGCATAAAATAAAATTGTGAGGAATTTCAGTCAATATTTCTTTAATCAGTTAGCCGACGATTCGACCCAAACATGTGGGTCATCATCAGGGTTATGGTATAGAAGTCGACAGAGGTGTCCAAAACGGGGTTTCAAGGCGCAAGTTGCATCATTTAAATTTTTGAGGTGGGAATATTCTGACGGGTTTTCGATTTTTTCAATCGAATCCGGCTGATGACAAGAAGAAGAAGAAAGTAAATTTTATTCTGAGACGTTTAGTTCCCTAAGAATAACAAACATGTACAATGACAATTACATTATAAAATAAATTTGTCTGACAAATAATAATTAGGTTACAAAGTTCTGTAACATTAAAATTTATATTAACATTAATTAATATAAAATAAATTTATATTTTAGATTCACACATAATATGATGAAATTATAGGCAAATTGATGTTCGTGTGTCTATATGTTTGCACGGTAAGTAATATAAATAATAGTTTTGAATTAAATTTGTATCATATTTAATTCTTAAAAATATTCGGAAGATTGATTGTCGAGGATGATGAAAGAATTGGTTTATAACAAGTAATTTTTCTTCAACCGTGGATCGACATTGGGGTCGGGAGACACTTCTGGGGCTCACCCAACCTCTATAAAGTGGGTGCTCTTAATTAAATAATTGATTAAGACAGGAAGGCCTGATGGTTGAGCGGGATCCTTGGCCTTCTAACAGAACTTACAAAGTACTAATAAATTTGTATGGCACATAATGGCAGACAAATGATAATTAGGTTACAAAGTTCTGTAACATTAATATAAAAATAAATTCATATTTTAGATATACACATAATATGATGAAATTATAGGTAAATTATAGATAAAGACACTTCATTGGTTGTAGTGGTACAGATTTTTTTAAAAGATTATATTTTATAATTAATTCCATTCCATAATTTATCACCATATTTAACATTGAATTTAATTTATTATAAACTAACATTTTTTTAAAATAATCCTTCGTACCGCGCATAGATAAAATACTTGATAGTCTTATTTTATTTTAAGCATATTTATAAATAGATAATTTTCGAAGTATCTTATCATCATTTCTAAAAATAACTCCGAGATCTAAAGCGTATTGGAATATTAAACGCAAATTACACTTGTCATCAGCGGTAATGAGTGTTGGAATCATTTTGTGGTTTGTAGATATTTAAATTCGCAATGCGCAGAATCGGTCATTGCTTTTTAAATGTAGTGTTTTCCCTCCATAAAAAGAAAAAAAATAGAAGGAACATGGGGAGAAGGTCAGAAGAAGAATACCGATGAAGATGCAGACCTTGGAAAATTAAGGGTGTACCGAGTCAGAACATGAAGATCGGGGAACAGAGATACCAGTACAAGATGATATGCTCCGAGATACCTCTACAAGATCATTTCTCACGATCAATGACAAACTCAAGGATCATTTTTTAAAGGCCATAACTTTAATGTCGATTGTTTATTAAATCGAACGGACGTTATCTACTTTTTTATGTTCCAATTATTTTTTCATAAATTCCTGTGCAAACATCATCATTTTTTATCATTTGCCATTCTGATTATGAGGATGCAAACATATGCTGAAGTTGTCTTTTGAATGAAGCATTGATTTTTCAAGTTGTTTTAGTGAAAACTATAAGTAGTATACTATGAATATGAATATATTCAATTGGGTAAAGCCCCCAAATTGGATTTTTTTTTCATTGGTCCATATTAGTTGCTGTGAGTGACCTAACATATACACTTAAACAATAACAATATGTTCATTTTTTTTAAATTATACTACGTAGACAGCTACTAAATATAGCCCATGTCTTACGAAAAAAATATCTCGAAAAGTATTATCGTTCTTGTAATTATATTTTAATATGACTTTAAGAATCACTTTAACACTATTTCATATAGGTGTTTATTTTTCTTTCTAATTAAATATTGTTATAAATATATCTAGTTAATAAAAAAATAAAAAAAAAAAACCTATCGTACTGAAGTCCCCTCAAAAATTAAATCCTGGATCCGCTATTGGTATAGAGTAATAAGTATTTCTTGACAAAGAATAGCAGCTTAATTTATCTTTGAAGAATAGACAGTCTCAAGGATATCTAACTATTTACGAGAATGAAATTAACGCACACCACTTCATCATTAAACGGTTCAAATCTGAACTTCTTATAACATTTTGAGCTCTCTAGGCTCAATAGGTCTGTAGAAGATATCTGAAATGAAAGAATGTAGTATCGCAGAGGTGACCAGAAGGAGTCTTTATGACTTAAGTTGCATTTTTCGACAGATTTATGAACATTATAAATTAAAAGTTTTCAACTAAGAAACGAGGAGAAACATGGATCAGACTGCAGGATGTGTATTTATATATAATCTATTTTGTCTTTTTTTAAATTCTGCATTTGCTTGTTCTGTTTTTAAGAAGAGAACAATAAAATATTTTAGGAAGAGTGGAGGAAAGATCATGCTCCATCGATCTTGGGGTGGGCACCTTTGGTGTTGTGTACCTATATTATTAAGTAATCATTAAGTTAAGCAGGACTTTTAGCTGGAATAGTTCATCAGAGGTCTTCCCAAACGATAAATGCAACAACAGAGTAAAAAAAATCGGGAAGATGGACATTAATGCGGAATTTTTAAGACAACAGCCCAAGATAAAATAACAGACGATCAACAAAATTTAAAAAAACCAGAAGAACTTAAATGTGAAATAGACTAAACTTGAAGTTCATATCAAACTTTGATATAATATTCACATAAAAATATGAGGTCAGCTGTACCATTGAATGACACATAGGATACGAGCGCAATGAAAAAAATCACGCATATATTTTATTAACTTATCAATCTCTGTCACAGGCGGATCTACGGGGGAGGGCTTTCGGGCTGAAGTCCCCTCAAAGTGGTAAAAAGTGACCATGTTTTATGGTAAAAAATATAAAAAATTATGTCTTAAAGTATTATTGCTCATTTTATTACATTTATTAGGACTTCAAGTATCACTTAAACACCATTTCATATAGTTAGTTAATATTTTTCTGTTTTTCCAAGGTAATTATCGTTATATGAAAAAAAAAAGCTTTCAGGCTGAAGCCTCCCCCAAAATTAAATCCTGATCCACTAGTGATCTCTGTTGATTAGTTATAAAGGTTGAAAATCAATTTGATTAATTGATACATAAGTTGGATTTAAGGAGAAATCTGCTGATGATTATAATCAGTCATTAAGATGATTTTAGTCCCAAAAAGTCTCGAAGGTAGCAGTTCTTCGTAGTCGATTAAACTCTTCGTCTTCCCTTGGAACCAATTTGTCCTCAGTCCATATTCCTACGAAGGTCCGCTTCGTTCTGGTTCAATGCCTCTTCCACTTTGACGCTTCATGGATACACGCTCCATAATTGAGTAGACTGACACAGAGAAAGATATATAGCTCTTCTATCGATTACCAAAAACGGGGTCACCCTCAGCGACAGGAGGGCAATATCTTCCAAGGAGAGGCATTGTGTTACCCCGGTGCAGAACGGGGTCATGGATGGACGTCTTTGTCGCTCCGTTCGCCACGTCTTCCTCACTGTCGCGGAAGTAGATTGTTCTAACAGTTAACAGATGTCGTAATAATGGGCCAAAACACGATTAATTGATTAAAAAAAAAACATACTCATTGTTCTATGTGGTATTTATTTTAAAAACTTCCTCTTATTAAAGTGATTTACAAGTGAATTGTTTGATGTACTTTTTTAATAACGTTTCATCACTAGGGATTCAAGTAGCTCTTCAAGATTTGGTGACTTGTAAATTTTGCTTTAGATATTCCTTCATATTTCTCTTATCTATTTTAACATCGAAGACAACGCTTTTCGGAAAGAGGTTTTTTAATAAAAAAATGTTCCTTAAAAAAAAAAACGATTTAATTGAAAATATGTTTTCCTCTGCAATGCCAAATACAAATGCTGACGGAAATAGAGCAATTTTTTTTTTTTAATCTATCTTAATATTAATTTTTAGAAATAAAATATGACGACACATCCAACGACCTCAAGACATTTTTCCTCAAACAAAATTAATAATTTAATGTCAGAAATATTTTATGCCTTCATATTGCATATTATTCCGTGGTACAGACACCTTTTTATCGAATTATTAAAATCCACCTGAAATTTCATATATAGTTCATATCTTATAGTAACCTACAACTATTTTATTTACGAAAACTCTTGGAATTGGGGCGTTTTCAATCTGGAGGGAGGCAAACTTTGTCTATTTAATTATGTGCTAAAAACTCGTAAATGCACGTTTCGATCGTAAATCACAAAATCGATAAAAAAGGGCCTTTTTTATCGATTTAGTCATCAAATTATCTTACGATCCAAGTAGAAAACAAATGAGTATTTACGAGTTTTTATTACCTAATTAAATAGACAAAGTTTGCACCTCCTCCAGATTGAAAACGCCCCAATTCCAAGAGTTTTCGTGAATAAAATAGTTGTAGGTTACTATAAGATATAAACTACTTACGAAGTTTCAGGCGGATTTTAATAATTCGATAAAAAGGAGTCTGTAATACGGACTATATAACCTTATTGAACGTATGTATGTTCAGTAGAGGAATCATACGTATTTTCAATGTATTTTCTTTTTTTTCAAGAGAACTTTTTTTCTAAATAACTTTCTATCCGAAAAGTATTGTTTTCACCGTTTAAAAAATATCAAAACATCCAAGTCGCCAAAAACCTGCATATAATTTTTCCGTAATACTATTTGCAGGCGTAATTCATTAAATTCGTATTAATTAATGAACTAGATTAATTTCTCCCTTACCTAATATTCCGCCATCTCCTACCTCAAAATCTCCAATTAAAGTCTTCGGTCCATTCCCTTTTCAGAAGATCTTGACTTTCCGACTTTTACATCCTTTCTCACAGATCTGCCTCATTTCAAAATTCCTTTATTACTCGCACTGTCTATTTCTGGAATTCTCTCCCTATAAAAAATCGACATTCCCCATCCATATCCACTTTCAAAACCCTTCTATTCCAATTCCTATCCCCAAAACAGTCAGATAGTTGCTAACCATTTGACAAAATACATTTATTTCATGCCATTCATTGTCAAATATCAATGCTATTCTTTACTAGGAATATTAACTTTCTTAAAGGACTATCCTACGATGTCACTGAACGCATTTATTGGTTATTTATAACTATTATCTTTTGTGCACCACTAAATTCTTACCTATTGTTACGTTAAGAAATGATGATTATGTATTTATATATTAATCAGGCACTTTATATTGTCATGTTTTCTCAACAGATACAGAAAGCTTATTTTAGTGAAGAGAGATTAAATATATTTTTCTTTTTTTATCTTTATTGTTTTCTTAAAAGAGTATACTTGTCAATTAGTGCAAATACCTTTAAGTGCCTTGTCATAGTGTTAATTGTTTTGAATATAGTTTCGTTTGTTTTGTATATAGAATGTTACCTTATATTTCTCTACATTATTTCTTTTTTTCTATTGATTTTCTATTTAGGACAGATGTAATCTTTTAATTTTGTTCTATTTTGTTATTCTCAAGGGACTGTGTCCCAGAATAAAGTCATTTTCTATCTATCTGTCTATCTATACCTTGGTAAAATATTCTTTGGTTAGTTACTAGAGGCAAAGAAAGAGCTGAGCTAAGTGGAATACAGTGGAAGGGTGCGGATTAGGGACTTGTATGTGAAGGAAAATATTTTAAAGATTTTTCCTTCCTCGGCACCTAATCTCATAACTATATCACGAATCTGACTGCTTTTAATATATATATATGTTAAAAGCAGTCAGATTCGTGGTACAGTCAGATTCGATTGTTAAGACAATCTCATGATTGTCTTAACAATCGAATTGAAAATCCTCTAGATCGAACGAAAATACAAGATTAGGCTCCACTTTATATAGCTATACATCATGATTACAGATAATTTATTATACAATAAAACTAACGGTATATTATATTTCACTTTTACGGACTATAACACTTTAATTATATAATCCTACTATGTTTATCAGGTTCCATAATAATCGGTCCTGTAACTCCACCCTTCCTATATGGTAGATTTGTGGAAAAGTACCATGTATTCTAAGCCTTTTGAGTGAAATTAAACCGGTTGTCGAAACGTGAATGCAGCAAAAGGCGATACCTTCCTTTAAACTGTATCTGAGTCAGTGATGTTTTAACCTGTTTTACTTTCCAAGGATTTTTTTAACTGTAAGGTTTCGAAATGGTGGCTTTACATATTGATGAAGTGTGCACCTTTATTCCTTCTACTGTTACAAGAATATTCCAAGGCCAGTTGACCGATGGGGAATACCAATATGGTTTACACATCGGTGTGATTTATTACAAGTACACAATATGTCTACAAGGCTGTTAGAGCAAAACTGTTATAATATAATATAAAACATCTGTATTAATCCTTAGTGGATGTATTATCCATCATAATCTATTTTCATCCTATATTTATTTACTTTTTTAACTGTTACATAAAAACGTAAATATTAGGATTAGGAACATAAAATCGATCACTTAGAAATACGAATCAATTCCTATAATGGAGGTCTGGGAAAATGTTTCATTATCACTATCAATAAATCTTCGAAAAATCATAATTTTTAATATTTTTCTTTTATGAATAAAATGTTTAGTTATGCACTTATGTTTGTTACATCTCAGGCAATGGAAAAAAAATTTTCAATAATTTATTTTAATCAATTTTGCTGAAAACATACTTTTAGATGACAGGATATCAAATCACGTAATGTTTTTACACATGAGTTGAATCTCAACTTATTTCGTAATAAACCTCAACTTTATCAATATGGACTGGAAGCTTATTAAACAAGGATGTTTTTTCTAAAAAAGTGTAGTATAGTTGGAGGAAGATTAAAAAACAGATAGAGAGAGACATAGGGAGTCATACTATGGCAGACAGAAAGAGTCAGAGACACAGAAGAAAAGACTGACAGACAGAAAGATTCATACGATAAAGACGGACAGGGAGAGAGACTGACAAAGACAATCCCTGTCTGTTTTGAATATTGACTAAATTTTTCTAAAGTGTCAACAATGGCCGCTGGAGAAGCCAAAATGTAGTGGGGGGAATATATATACACTACTGTCATTCCTAAAAATTGCAGAATCGTGTTCTAGGTGTTCTAAAACAGATAGAAATCATCGGGGTTGCACCTTCCAACCTTCTTCTGACGACTTTCGATGTAGTACAAATAGTCTATTATTTCCGAAAGAAAATAGACAAAAGAAATCCTAATAGCGACTATTCTAAAATAAATTATTAAGGAATTATAAAGTTCCTTGAGTTAGGTTTAACGATACTTCTTTTTATTCAACTTTTTTTTTACATCAGTCTCACAGATTATGTTTTTGGGGGAGAGGAGGAAGGCGGAAGAGATTGTAACAGAATTTGCAGATGTTCGGGCCGCTTGAAGCAAGCCTCTCCACCTCTGCTTATCTTAGGCTATTACTTTCCAATTCTCTGCTGAGTGCAGCTCTTCGGATATCTTGAAACAAATATAAAAATAAAGAAAGATAAGCAAAAATTATTCTTGGGTTCCTTGTCCCCCAAAACCGGATTCGATTTGAGGACTACTGTGTTATTGGATCATAAATGACTTCTGCTGTGAAAGTCAATGTATTGGATCATAACTGACTTCTGCTGTGAAAGTCAATGTTATACGAGGTCCTGTTGGTTAAATCGAATCACGTAAACCGACACAGTTCAAGAAGCAATAATAAGTTGACAATGCCAAGAGCATTCTGTGGTCTGCTTCAACCTTCAGGTTTAACCTTGAAAATATTGTTTGACTTCCAGCATGTCTCCTACTTTCATATACCAGTAATCTTAGTTAACGTTTTTTAAATATCGATGGAGGGTTAAATATTCTATGACTGATTTAATGCAATGTTTTTTTTTTAATGATTTTACTATAATTATCATTAGCCACGTACCACATACTAGAAGAAAGGAGTCATTTTAAAAAGATTAAATGGAAATGAGATTTTGAGAATATTCGAGTTCATTATTCTACAAGAAAATCATAAATGCGATCAATCTTTAATATATTCATTATTTAACTGATAATTGAATTTTTAAAATATATTATAATTTAAATAAGTACACATATTTTTTTGTTAAGGTGTGTTAAACTTTTCAGTCATCGTTGCCACTTATTTATATTATTTACAATGTCGTAGAACTTTGATAAGGGAGATGTAAAATTAGTCCTGAAAAAAAATAAAATAAAATCTATAACAAAAATGATAATTATTAAAACTGATTAAATAGACTGGCTGCCATTAAATTTTTTTTTTCATATTACTTATTTTGAAAAATACTTTCTTAACGTTAATAAAACGTTTATTTACCTCGTTTCCGAGATTTCCTATAAACAGCTTATTTTATTCTTTATTCAGAAAAGCATTGAAAAATATAGAAATATTTTTAGAAGTTATAGTTTACTATTTTACCTTCTTGCAGCTATTCACGTCAACGATCATTACCAACATTTTTTTTGTTTATTTTTTTATTCTTAATAAATTACCATGGTAATAAACAAACTAATAAGTTGCGTTAAAAATATATATATTATTTTAAATCTCTCTCTTTAATTATTGAAAATCTCTCAGAAAAAATAGTAGATTATTGGAACTTACTGTTTTTATATATACTTCGACACTTACGCTCTGATGTTTACATTACCATTTATATAAAAAAGGTACCGAAAATAGCCATCGGTTTATTTTGAAAGACACCAAAAATGTTCATCGAATACATTTCGGTAGTTTGAACAAAAAACAGCTATCAAAAAAACTACAAGAAAAGAAAACAAAAAATGGTTTTCGGCCATTATTTTTTTTTTTTTTTTTTTTGACTCTCGCTTTGATATCATAAGCTAATTATAATATTATATCAAGGATAATAAGAAATAAATAATTTTTGTTTGAGTTACTTGATTTTATACATATTTTACTTTGTATATATATAGTATGATATTCTATACTAACGCGGAAGTTATACTTATGTAACTTTGAAATATTTAAAATTTATAGGTTTTTTTTTTACCTTAGATTTAATGTCTTTCATCCATTAAAAGTTGCGCATAGATCATTATATATCGTTGATCCCAATCTTTATGCATACGTAACTGGCTTATCAGGCGTAGGAATATCCACTATTAAATAATAAGGCATAGACCTCAATCATTTAGTCATTTAATGATCAGTTTCTCACAGAATGATCCGAGTCCCTCATCAGGAAAAGCTGATCGATGCTAAGGATAATTTTCAAAAAGATAGTTCGCCAACGCCTTACATAACCCTTAATTTGTGTAATGATATAGAAAGTTGAAAACCTATTAAAATAATTAGCCGTATGAATGAATTTCTACATGGATACTACCATGAAACGATCATGGCGATGTGTTCAAGGAAATAAATGGCTCACTAAACGATAATATGAATTTTCATCATTTATTGAGCAAACGAAAAATCATATCTTGTAATATGATGGATCATTTATTTTAATTAATTTTTCTATAGAGATGGTTTCGAAGATATCGAAATCGCAAAATAAATATCAAATTCTAAAATATTTCCATTGTAATGTACATTAAATCAGCATACAAAAAAACAATAATAAAAAAAAATAAATAAATAAAACTATGCGACTATCTACTTATTGATATCTAAACTTTACGATAAATGTTTACAAAAAACTTGGTCGACCTTGGACACACGCGAATGAATTATTCACGTTGTATATTAGTCTATGAACAAATGGCAAAATAATATAGAAATAAATTAACGCAATTTATTATGAGATGGAGGAAATAATTTATTTTTCTTGGTCGAATTATAATAGTACACTCATAATAAAACCAAAACATGTATACAAATTATAATAGGCTGTACCTTCTCTAATAATGGACCTACTTCGATTATTTTTATTTATTTTTTGTAAGGAATTTAGTAACCTTGTAAATAATTATGAGTGGAATTATGAACAGTCCCACAAAAATTTACTGTATTGGATTTAAAGAATAATAAAACTATTCAAACTCAGAAGCCCATTAAAATTATTTTTGTATTTGGTTGATATTTTATTTCATTTTCATTAATATATAGTTGTATTGGGGTGTTTGGAGAGATATTTTAGCTACAGGTAGTTTTAGATATTTTTATCACTATTTTTAAAATTTATATTTAAGAGTTTTTATACATGAAGAAAAATTATAATGCTAAAACTCATGGTATCAGCAGATTTTATATTAAATTTATAACTAATGAATAAAGTTTGAAACCTCTTCGACAATAAATATAGGTTTTACAAATAGAAACCAAACAGGTACGTGCTGGTTTTGAGCCCAAAATGTCTTCCCAACTTCGAAATAATTTAAAAGTTTAAAAGCCCATAATGCTGAAACTAATCGTTAGAATTGGTTAAAATTTGGTATTTTTACTTACATGCACTAACGGATCCAGGATTTAATTTTGGGTGGGTGCTTCAGCCCGAATGATTTCTTTTTTTGTATATATATAGGGGGATAATTACGTCGTAAGAAAGAAAGTAACTAACTACCTACATTAAATGGTGTTTAATTGATTCTTTAAGTCCTATTAAATGTAATTAGATGAACAATTATACTTTTAGAGAATTTTTTTTTTCATAAAACATGGTTATATTTTACCATTTTGAGGGGGGCTTTAGCCCGAAAGCCCCCCCCACCCAGTGGATACGCCTGTGCTTACATGAATATTTACTCAATATTTACAAATTTTCATTAAGATCTGAGGGGGGTGGTTGCGGGCCCTGGATGATTTGGCATGGAATGACCATACATATTTTTCCAGTATTCTTTACTGGTTTTGTGAAGAAGTTTAAGAATATGCAAGTGTGTGATATGCCATCCCTGCAAAATCCCGTGTAGCCGAAAGACAAGAAAGGGAGGCATAAATAAATAAATAAAGTTTAAGAATGAATAGTCATTCCCATTAATACAACTCAGTATACGGGGTATCCCGTAAATAACGGGAAATATTTAAAAAGTTATACTGAACCTCAAAAGAGAAAAAGTTAGGAAATGAGAGGATAGATATGCCTGAGATTGTTGTTCGAAAGGCAAAGATCATTTCACTATCCAACCTAAAATTTCCCTATGCCCATGCTCTTCCAATACTAGATGGGGATATCATTCTCAGTCTTTGTACAGATTAATAGAAGATTTTAAAATAGACATTTAAAAGAAATAACTTACATCCTTCATTCTTTGATTATATAAAAATAGGTGCAGTATAGAACTTCGATGGGTGCCTTCGGCCACAGCAATACTCTCAAGAACAACAAAAAAGTTGAAATAAATATTGTAATGTCGTACAGAGATGGTATATCCCTTTAAAACTTTATCATGGGTCTACCCTGACATTATTACTATTAATATAATATGACTGGTCGTTTCTCGATCAAAGTGATTGGATTCAAGAAACTGATAGAGAAAAATAACGATGAGGAAGAGCCTTTATAAGGAGATGGAAAATGAATTTAACGATTTAAGAGTGAAATCGTGCAAGTTCTCAACCAGCGTGGAATAAGCTTAGAAGAACAAGAAGTCCTCAGATGTAATAGCAGGTCATGGATTAAGAAGGATTTAATTTGAATCAGGATACCATAAAACTAATAAATTAATTGGGGTCTGGAAAAGACATTATCGACCGATTGCGTTACTTCCTCTGATTTGTCGAGTTGAGGAAGTAAAAAAAAAACAAAAAGTCGCCATGTTGACGTCAGTCATGACTTTTCTGGTCATTCTCCTATCTGGCAACCTTGATCGCATGACGCCCTACCATGGCGGTAACCCACGACTAGGAATCAGGAACCTTTCAAGACACAGATGTGAGTCACCGCCTGCTGGCGAAGGATGTAGGGCAGCCATTGCGTAACTCCTTCGGGAATTAGCTATCAATGGTCCTCTTACGTGACGGGGTGTCGCAATGGCCAGCTGACTCGAACAACATGGAAACTTGGCCCACGCATCATGCTCCATATATTTTAACAATAAAAATAATATATATATACATATATATATATTGATCTGGAAAACAGTCGATCAGATACAACGATGAGGCGATGTTTGTTTAGGAATAAATGCAATGTTTCTTTTCTTTTCTTTTCTTTTGTTAAAGTATAAGTTAAAGTAGGAAATTTAGTATTTATTTCAATTAATCAAGGCCGTAAATCGCTTTTTTTGCTTTCACTTACTATATATGTAATATATAGTAAGGGTAAGTATTGCGAACTTTTTGAATCTGAGTTTTCAACGGAAATACACGTTTTGAGGTCCTCTGAGTATAAATAACCAAGCCCCGCAAAATGGTCTGTGTCTTAACAGTCTAGCTCAAAAACAAAAAGTCGTAAGGAAGTGAAATTGCATATTTAAGATTTTTTTATGCTTGGGATGTTACAGCAACTTTTTCGTCAAAATTGGCTACCTGAAAGTGGCATTTTATATAAAAGACTAAACACATTTTTACGATTATCTCGAAAACCGCTCAAACAATTTTGAATAAATTCATCATATCAGTGTAAAATTAAGAAGTTTTTAATAAAATGTGGTTATTATTCTGATTGATGTTCTCTAACAGAGCTTAAATGGCTAATTTTCAATATTACCTTCCTCTGTAGTACCTTTAATTTTTTTTATTTGAAACAAATGACCATTTAAGATTAATATCTAATATGAAAAATGGATAAATATAAAATATGAAAGAATTTGATAAATAACTAAAGGAGAAATAAGAGATCATAACGGAGAATAGTTATAATTGAGGAACCAAAGGAATACGAGCGAACTCGCCCGAAAGATTAGAACACGCTTCTATACGTATCATGAGATTAATATAATACAGACTCCAACATTATTATATAAATATACATATGTGGTCTTATATAAATGCTATTGTTAGTATTATTTAATATTTAATTGAAAAATTAAAGGGATATAAATATTAAAATTTGTATATATGAGGGTACTTATACAAACAAAAATACCCACAATGAAATATAAATAAATATAGCGTTTATAATTTTTACTTTCACTTCGCATTCTCTGAAAATAATCATTTCTGCTAAGAAGTGGGTGGAAAGTGAAAGTTGTGTTTTGCGCGCACCGCATCAGATTTTTTTTCTTCATAACGCTTTTCCCTTAAATTTAGGGTGGCTATTTTTTCCACCTTCATGAGAAAAAAATATTCAATATATATATATTTCGTTGACTTTGATGAAGAATTGACAAAGATACTGCGTACCGAAAAAAAAAAAAAAACTTTGAAAAAATAATCCATAATATTGTAGTTAAATAGTGAGATGCTGAACAGGTTCCCATAGTAATCAATTCACTTCTTATAAGTTTTTCAAATGAACAAAAACTACACGTACACCTTCTGAAATACTGTAGTAGTTAATTACAAGGATACTTTAAATGAGAGTAAAATAAGAGTAAAAAATAAATAAATTCTAATCGAATAATTTTCTAATAGTATATATATATATATATATATATATATATATATATATATATATATAATATATATATATATATATATATATATATATATATATACATACATACATATATATATATATATATATATATATATATATATATATAAATATATATTAATAAGAAACAGGGAAACAGGCAAAAAAGAGGCAACACCAAATATATTTATATTTCTTATTATACGAGAGTCTAATTACATATGGAGATAGGGATTATCAGTGCCTTATAACAATTATCAGGTTATAAACATTTAATAATAATAAATATAAATAACAACAACAACACTGTAAATAACAAGATAACTGCAGATAGCAGGCCATAGAGGCCGCGTCGCTCACAAGTACTTTTGAATGAATATATATATTTTTTTTTCTGGAAAATTCAAACAATGGTGGGAATAAGGAACCATAATTTTGCCCTTTTAGAGTTCTGTGCAAATAACTTTTCTTTTTCTTCATAACTATATTTCCTGAAATTTTGGGAGGATGTGAATATTCTCCCCGACAGAAGGAGAAGGTAATTTTCATAATGAAGGCGCAATCATTGGATGCCATATAAAGATTTATTGCTTATTTCTTCTATAGCTCTTTAATGGAAGATTGTGTTTCTATAATCATGCCCCTTTTTCCTTTATTCATACTGAATGCTATTCTCTTAACACGATAAAAGGCTGGTTACTAAGAATAGCCTTGACAAGCGCTGGTCCGTTGCAAATGGAAAAGTGAAGGGTATTTCCTTGAAGATTTGTGAGGGGACATTGTTTTTGGTTTATTAATTGATAGAAATGATCCCATAATATGATATCGGCGCCAGAAAAGGAAACGACCTCATGATCGTATCTGACTTACTGACGAGGTCAAATTTTCTAGGATATGCATATCTTACTGATTGTGCATAACATTTTTCCTGACTTACAGTATACAATGAAGTAATTCCAAGTCCTACAATAATAAACACAAAAATTATGATAAACAGACATATAGTAAGAAATTAATATAGGCCGAGAAAATCTTTAAAAATTAATATAACTTACAAACATTTCAAGCCTTCCAATCGAAATTATTGCGACTTATAACAAAAGCACTTTGGTACGCGAGTAACAAAACTCTACGTAATATAATAAAATCCACCTTCCAAATGTTGATCAACATATAACGATCCATTACCAACGATTTTATACAAATTTAACCGGACATAAAACATTAATAAGGGACATGGCCACAGCTGATATACTCCTGAATATGAAGAGAAGACTAATAAGTAGTGTTGCCAAAATGCGGGACCGAGTCTTAGTCTTGCAAACTCAGTCTCGGTCATGGTCTTGGTCTTGCGCAAGAGTCTCGCAACAGACTTGCAGTTACTTATTAGCTTATTACTGTAGAGATATTACTGTATTTTTTTAAATAGAAGAAACCTAACTAAGCCCGAATGAAAAATTAGAGGAGTTGAATGCAAAAGTATATTGGTTACACCAATTATTAACATATAGTAACTAAGATTTCGCTGTACCGCTATTTGCTATTTGCTGTACCGAATGGTAAACGTCCGAGGGATAGACTGAAGCGAAGGTGGGAAGATTGCATTAAATCCGAACTGAAGGGACTAGATTTGGACAGCGAACGGTGGAGGGAGGTGTGTAATAAGCGATTGGTGGTGTCGGCATCGGACCTTCGGGTTAGCTAAGCCTTTTATTATTATTATTAGTAACTAAGATTGTCAAATATTAGTAACTATTTTGCCTTAATTATGATTTAAAAAATCGATTTTTTTATCAGTCCTTGTCTCGGTCTTGCAACAGTTAGGTGGCCTTGGTCTCGGTCTTGCAAAGTGCAAGGCCAAGACCGATTTTGGGCAACACTATTAACAAGGCACTGGATGACAGATCCTTCTTCCTTAAACTAAGTTATTGAAACAAGGAAGAGATGCTGTGCCATGTCATTATGTCTTGTATTCTCAGCACATACGCTGATTGTCAACATAAAGTTGGCAGTACCAAATAATTGTTTAAAGTCAAAAAACAAAATGAAAACATTTTATCCGAAAAGCTCAGGGAAAATCATATATTTCTTTCAAAATTCATCTATTCTTTCTTATGTTCATTCTATTCTATTCTATGCAAGACAACTTTCCATCATTGGGACAACCACACATATTGAAAGTCTACCGAGACTAAATCTAGGTAATTACCAATTGTTCCATCATAAACTAGTCAAAATTCCTTCAAATGGGCTATAAATCCATACTTTTAAAATAAAACTGTCAGCAAATGCAATCTAACAGTATAATTATGTAATGTGAGATAAGCCACATATCAGGTGCAAACAAAATACGACTTGAATGTGATGGTTTGTTACAAAACAAAGAGTTTTTTGTTAGATCGATAAGTTTATAGATCCACAAAAAAGTTATTTTTTTTTTTTTAATAGGAGCTATAAATTTGCAAAGAACTAAATGTATAGAAGATAAAGTTTAAATGAGCATTTAGTGTGAACATGTTAAAACTTTTTATTACATAACTATGCTATATATGCAATAACATATAATGAGACCATAGATCATATCAACTTAGAAGGTACAGTGTTACGTTAAACCACATAGTTTTTCCCAGCACGTCGAATCATTATTTTCCACTTTACGTTTCTGAATTCCCAGGACCTACACTTTAGCTGGGTTGTGATGGTCACACAAGAAGAATTATTAAAGGAACGAGTGATTTGGCAATGGCTGATCTCATAAGATTTAAATCTCGCACGGATTAACCTTGCTCTAGAAGTCGTTATACGAATTGGATTGATTCATAATTTATGTGTAATAAGAAAATTAGGTCACTCTTATCAAAACATATAAAAATTGAGATTATTAATAAAAAATATCTCAGAAATTATTTCAATACAAAGTTTTTCATGTCAAAAACAGTAAATGGTTTGTAATGATTTATATACTGACAATGTAGGTAATTTTATAGGAGATAGAACTACATTGAAAACTTAACATGGATTACATTTACATTGAAAGATTAACATGGGCAAGACATGACATTGAAAATGTTTGATCACAACCATGAATGCTACAGGGATTTTGAAATCCATACAATTTCTATAAATATATTAGACAAGAAGAGAACTCGTTGCACAAATTGTATAAATGTAATTTTTGTGTATTCTTTAGTTCATATTATATTAATTTTATTACCATAAAATAAACTGAATGAAACAATATTTCGGACAAATTTTTAATTTCTTTAAAAATGTATATTATACATCGCGCCTTATTGCCAATTTATATTATTATATATTTATGATTTTTCTTAATTTCAATTTGTAACCATAATATATATTCATCTTGTCCAGGCTACATACGAGCCTAACGAAAATTTAAGACTTTTATTTCTACTATTTTTATTGTTCGTTATATTGTGCTTCCTTTCCTACTTAATAATAATTATATCACATGGGGAAATGTCTAGATCGGAAAATAACTGCTGT